GAAAGCAGCGGCTGTGGGGCAGGGGCTCCGTGCCAGGGGCTCTGGGATTGGGGAATGCGGTTACCGAGATGGGTTGCTGCGATGGTGGATACCGTGACACTGAGTGAACCCTACTGTCAGTCTAACTGCATGTGGGAACTGCACCTCCTCATTGGTTTTCCGTGGCTTTGAGAAAATGGGTCCTTTTGTATTTGAAAAGTGGGTGTATTTTAATGTTGTGTGTTTTCACTCTATGAGGCAAACATCACATTTACCTGTGTGCAGGCAGTGTTGTGGTGGCATGTGCTCTCTCCTCTCCCATGTTACAATTCAGTGTGTACCTGCAGTGCGTTGGTGTAATGTAATTTGGGCTGGTTCTGTAATTTTATTTCTGTGCTGATGTTCACTGGAAAGCCAGTGCTGGTGCTGCATCAGTCCATGCCCGTGCAAGTTGCTCATGAGCTAATGTGGCTTTCAAAAAACAGCTGTACTTGTGATACTGGAGTGTGTGAGAATGGGAACTATTCCTCACTTTGGGGTTAGGATAGGATGAGGAGGGGTATTTCCAGTGATAATGTCATGTGATAACGCACCTCGGCAAATACACAAACCTGTTGCTGACTGTGAGTCTTGCTGTCTTCACACATCTCTCTGCTATCAGTAACAGGAGCAGCAGCAGAGCAGGACTAGGAAATTGCAATTTCCTGTGAACAAGGCTGGCTCTGCGTAGCTGAGGATGTCACAGGGAACAATGTGTACATTTCACTGCTTGGCTGCTGTGCAAAGAATTTCCACTGGTCAGATGCTGGTCCGAGTTATCTGAAATATTTCTGGGTTTGTTTTCTTTTTTCCTGCATTGCAGGTCTGTTTTGAACTTTGTCAACAACCCCTGACTTGATGTCAGTTTAAAACCAATATTGTTACTTTCCTTCTGTGTTTTTTCCTTTTCTTTGTGAGTGCATTCTGGTAGAATTTGCTTTCAGATAATAATTTTAATAGTGAAGAATCCTTTCCCTGCTGTCAGAAGATAAAATGAGGAAGGGAACCTCCTCTACTCTCAGTAACTCTATATCCTATTTAATTGATATAAAGTAGGATTTTATGGTCTGTAAAAAAAAAAAAAAAAAAAAAAAAAAAAAACAAAAAAACAAGGCAGTGGTGGTGGGAAGAAAACAGAGCTTTTACTATAATGCTGAAAAGGGACATTGCAGAGGAACTGTTGTTCATGAAGTGCCATGTCAAGAGACACATTCCTAGGGCCTACTGTGGTGGCAGCTGTAGGATACAGAACAGTTTGATGCATAAACCCTTGTGCTGAGGTAGATGATGCATTTTCACCCTGTATTTGGCAGTAATTATTTGATCAACAGAGTGAAACCCTCTGTCCTGTGTGAAAAGGCACAACAGTAGTTTTGCTGGAAAGCTGGTGATCCCAGAAAAAAGTGGGCTTAGTGTTTTGGGGTGAGGTCAGCTCCTGTGTGGCTGGACAACTTAAAGGTGCCCTGTGAGAGGAACCAGCGCTCTGTGGGGCCACATCTCAGCAGAATGCCTCCTGCACATCCCACCCCATTGGCTAGCTGGGGGCACAAGGCTGGGCAGCTCAGCTTTTTGGCACCTGGAGTGAGCCCACCTGAACCCCACCAGCTGTGGCTGATGCCTGAGACTCTGGAGGCTGTGCTGGGTCCTGCCAAGTGTTTGCTGTGGGGATGGTGGGAAAGGACACAAACCTACTCTCCTGAACCAGACCTTGGGAATAAGAGATTAAAATATTAATTATGACACACCACAAAATTATGAGCCTACTCTAAGACAACAAAGATTTCATCAGACGCTTTAGAAAGCAGGCTTAGTGCCTCCCATTTCTTTTTATAGCCGTGAATTTTAAGTCCCACTGGGGATCAAAAGAATGTGGGCAAGAATCATCTGAAACTGGATACTTTTCTATGTAAGGTTTTGAAATGACAGAGTTGATTTAAGCAATTCCTCAGCGCAGTGTTTTGCAATGCAATGTTTTTCTGCCCGGTTCACGACGGGCTGTGCCAGCCTGCGTGTTCCCCTGCGGCACTGGAGCCTTTGCTCAGGACAGCTGTGGCATGCACACTGTTTACCAACTCCCCGATAGGGAAAAACAAAGCCCTCGTTCCTGGGCTATGGAAAACTTCTGCCGATGAATCCACGCCCTCTCTCCGGGGAGGAAATCATAACAAACATTAATGTCTCTTCACCCTTTTATGCCTGGTATATTAATCACCCAACAAGCGCTCATGACTTCTCCCGGTTCCAGTTTGCATTTGCCCTCTAACTACTGGGAGGAGTCCTGCTTTGTCTATAAAAAGCTGCACTTTGCCAAACAGTGTAACAGAACCGAACTTAGGGATTCACTCGCCCATCTCACCCAGGGAGGGAGGACTGAGCGCAGCCATGTTCGGCATTGGGAAGAAGCTCGCTGAGGACGCTGTGCAACAAGCTGGAAGTGCTGCACAAGTGGCAGGTAAATACAAATTGCTCCTTTCCCTCCTCCTGTGCCTTGGGTGTTAAAGTATTTGCTTTGTTCCCGCCCCTGCTGCTGGGAGCAAACCTGCCCCCGGGGCAGGAGCTCTACAGATGCTGCCCTCAAGGGTGGGGTCAGCACATCCTGGAATCTCCAAGCCCTCTAACACTATAGAAAATGAAGGTCTGATATTAACTACTGGGTTTCCAACAACTTTTCCTACTCTGGCTCATAGTGCGTGGGTGCCTAGATGATGATGCATTGATGACAGGACAGCAGAAAGCAGAGAGTGGAGGCAAGGCTGCTTATTTAGGGCTTTGCTTCCTAATATGACCAGCCATGACAAATGTGAGCTCTGTAGCAGCACAGTGTACCAACTCTGAGGGCTCTGATCCGCTCCATGCTGCCCAGAGAGGTTGCAGTTCAGTGCTCCAGCCCTGCCAGCACTGCAGACACACAGCCCACCAAGAGCACAAGTGCAGCTGCAGATGAGCCAAGTTCACTCCTGCAGAGTTTTGCTGAACTGGCCCTGAAGTTAAATAGCCATTGTTAGTGGAGCTTTAACATGGAGATCTGCACTGCTGAGATTCCTGAAGTGTTTGTGCTTAGTATGTGAGCACTGGAAACTTTCATATTTCTTTACATGACATTTAGGTAAACTCTTGAAACCAGTTATTTGCCCATGACTTCAAATGCTGTAGAAATATTGCTTGTGGGCTATGTGCCCAGTGAAGCAAGTGGGAAGCCTGCTACTTATTTACCATGACTTGGTTCATTTTGCTTGGAAGATGAAGGATGAACAATCCCACAGCCACCTTCTTTTCCAAAGAATTTGGATTTATTCTTAATTCAGCTATTTTTATGCTGGAGCATGAAACAAAAGCACCAGGATGAGGGCAATTGGAAAGGAGCCATCAATTTTTCAACTGAAGATTTCTTTCAGATTTTGCCATAGAGTAGTGCTAGAAATGTGCATTTTGTGGCAGCTTTTTGATGTTCCTAACTTCTTTAGCATGGGGGAAACATCTAGTGTTTCCTATGCTGGAAGACAATACGGATGATTTAGAGAGATATTTGTCATCTTTAGAGGAGCTGAGTACTAATCTCAATCAGCTGATGGAAAGAAGTGTTTAGAAGTCAACAGACTCTAAGAGCAAAGTTTATAAATAGTAGCTGCAGCCCTTGCCCCTCTGTCCCAAGCACTTGAAGCTGAACCAGCTGTTTGGATATCATCTGTCTGAAGCCCTTTGCCTGAGCCCTGCCTGTACCTTCCCAGCAAGTCCTGCACTGCAGCAAGGCTCTTGCAGCCAGAGTTGGATTCTGGAACAACAGAGGGTGGTCCCAGGCACTGGCTTGACTTGGCCACTTCTGTGCAATCTGCACAGACCTTGATGTCAGGCAGTAAATACACAGCAGGTGATGCTGAACTCATCATGCCACTCTTAGTAGTGCACTGACTGGAAGGAGTATAGAAGTATCCTCTAAGCCCCCATTTAAATAAAAATGAAGGGGGATTAATGGCAGATTTCAAGTAAAAAAAGACTATCTGGTGGCTTTGCAACTATTCATTACCTTGTTTCTGACCAGTCCTGTTGTGCCTGCACGTGCCCCAGAGGCGCCGTCCCATGAGCCGTTGCCAAGTACAGAGTGGCACAACTGAGCTTTGCAAGTATCTAAAATTAGCATCTATCCCATGGGTCCTGAAGGGAGTTACAAACTTGGCTGTGACCTAAGACTGCCACGGGAACCATTTGTCTTACCTGCACCTTATGAGCAGTGAACATCATTCACATTAGGAAACTGCAGCAAGAGATGGCATGTAATGATAATTAGCATGTATTTTGAGCAGTAGAAAATGTCCTACAAGCTCCAGGTGAAATAGGTCACTGGTTTTACAAGACATTTAATAAAACCACTGTTGAAGAGACATTCAGTGCAAGCCTGGAGACCTTTGAAGTTTTAGACACTCCCAGTCTACTTAAACATCTCTCATCACCTCAGCATTTCTCCCTCCTGCCACTTCCATGAGGAATGTCTTGCTCAGTCAGCCACCCCTCAGTATCTGTTGTGCAGAAGATATCAATGGTGTTTTTTTAAAAAGTAGTAATTGGAGTCAGGGGTAATAAAATGAATACAGGTCCAATGCAAGGTCATTTGCCCCAAACTTCTGACTCTTGTCACAAGACTTCCCTGATCAGCTTTTGGAAGCTGATCATCCAAATATTTACCACTATTTTCTAGGCTGCAGGCCTTTAAGACAGCACCTTCTCTTGCTCTTCATTTTTCAGTATGTCTCTTCTGCTGAACTTTTCCATGCCTTTAAAAATACTCTGGCCTTTTACAGAATACCTTTTCTTCAGGTACAAGAAGAAGTATTAGACTAACCATTTTTGATGTGCTGCTCATACAGCATGCCAGTTCAGTGAGTGAGCACCAGTTTATGCAGCTGGTAAAAGAATCTTTACCAATCAAACTGCTCTCAGCAGATCCTAGCCAGGCTAAATAAAAGGAAGGTTTCATTGCACCTAATTCTCTACCAGTGCTTGTTTCTTGGCAGTCTAGATGCCCCACATGAACATCCATAATCTTACCAAGACAGATGGATACCGTGGGGAACTACAGCCAGAGTACTAATAGCACCTCTACCACTAGACCAGGATGCCCACCCTTATGGAATAATTATTCATCCTCTAGCCACGAAACATTTAGGGAACCCTTTGAAAATGTGGCTGTTGAAATTAGGGGAAGGTTAAAGACTGCTTAATTGACTTTTTTTTTTCTCTGAACTGCAGTTGACACTGTGAACCAGACTGTGCAGCAAGCAACAGAACAGGCTAAGGCTGCTGGTCAGAAAGGTACGGTAATGTTTGTGTTAATTTCAAAATGTCATGACCCACACAGGGTCCTCAACCCTGCCTAGCTTCTTGTCCCACACCTGGTGGGAAAGGGGTAGCTATTGCAATGATGCTACAGTTACCTTTGTTTTTTTCTCTTTTAAAAGCACTTGATGAAGTCTACAAGGTTGCTGAAACTGGTGAAAAAGCTGTAAAAAATGTAGCAAACCAAGCAACTTCATGGGGCAAAAGCTTTGGACAATAAAAATCAAAATGTAACACCACTGAAATTTTTGTAAACAAGTTTCTACTACATATACTCTTAAATAAAGACAATACTTACACTCTGCCTGGCTTGCATGTATTTCTTTGATTACACATATAAACCCACATTTATGATCACTGGTCTAGAAAGACTGGATTTCTGATCTAGAGCAGGCAGCTAGAGCTGTGCCAAGCTAATAAGGCCAAGATGGTTTTCAGTTTGTTGGGTTTTTTTGGGTTTTGCTGTGGAATAAGGTCTGGCTTAAAGTGGGCAGCATGTAAAGTCAAGCACTTGAGAGCTGGTCTCCCATCTGTCAGGGAGCCTAAGTCCTGATTGTGTGTTTGGGTACAAGTCTGACAAGAGCTCCAACAGCCCTTTTCAGACACGGTAAGAACTGGTGTGCCTCTCTGACTGTGTTTGTTCTGCTCTCATTGGTAAAATCAGTTAGCTCCTGTGCTGAGGAAGGCTCAGGAGTGTTTGAGGTGTGAGTGACCCTGCACAGCGGCACTGTGATGCTCAGAGCCGGTGGCAGCAGCAGGAGGCTGCACTGCTGCCAGCAGAGCCTTGGCTGCAGCACCTGCTCAGTGCTGGGCTGGGTCACTGGAGCCACTCCTGCAGCTCTGACAGGCACAGTGGGCAATGCTGTGCCACCACGTCTGCAGGGCTCCTCCTGAACACACACAGGGACAGCAGCTGAAAGAATCACAGCCAGGGAATTCTGAGTAATGCACCAACAACCAGAAAAAATCCTCAGAAGCCAGGAACACTCTGTTGTGCATATGAACTTAGAATGAGGTCTTAGAATCTGATACTACAGACTTCTCAATTAGTAACAGAATAACTTAGGGGTTACTTACCCAGCATCTTGAAATCACAGCGAGAATTTCCATTGCTTTGACACTTCTCCCTGATGGTGACAGTTGACACCAATCAAGAAGAGGTGAGTTCTTTGCTAGGATAAAAAAATGATTGTTCTGCTTGCTCTTCTGTATAATAGAAACATTTTGCATTTAGTAGTTTGCAGGTGGCATGTGACCCTGAACACTGTGGTTGTCATCCTCATGGCATTCACCTGCAGCTTTAGAGTACTTGCTGAGCTGCTGCTCAACACAAACTATGTAGCCAAGCAGTATTAAGTGCTGAATGAGAGCTTACAAACACCCAGTAAGGATGTGCTTTGCTCTTGAGTAGTAGGTGTGGTCCAGAGCAGTTACAAATCTGTGTTCTGATCTGACTTCAGATCCTGACTGGCTCCCTGCCAAACAGTACAGCAAGTTTCTTAGTAAATGTCTAATGGCATATAAAGCAGTGATAAGGTTATTAGCTGGCAGATAAGACTTTTGTGTGTGTGTGTGGGTACATTATATGTAAGAAGGGTCCAACCTCTAACCAAACAGTTTTAGTAAAAAACCCCAGTATTTATAACATGCATCCCAGAGAGTGATTGCTTTCTTCAACTGTGGCTTGGGCTGGGAAAAGGCTGGAGCTGCTTTGTACCCAAACCTCTGAAATCACATTAACTCATAGAAACTGTACAAAATGTTGCTTCTTTCTTGTCGCTGTTGTTGTTGCTGGGTGTTGAGAGGTACGTGCACAAAACGTGATAAGGAATGTGCATCTCCTTTTTTTTTTTCTTAACTGTCTGATCACATTAGGAGTGAGGCCAACAATGCTCAGAACTGGTGTGAGATTATTTCAGAGCAGGCTATCACAAGAAGTCTGGGGTCACTGATAAGGATTTGGTTCTTGTGTTTAGCTACAAAGGGTAAATCAGCTGACGTGCTCCCAAGTCAACCTCCAAGCATTTGTCTCCTCAAGAATCTCAATTCTTTGATTGAAAGTGCCTTAAGTTGTTGTAACAATGGCCCTTGGATAGGCTTGGATTTGTGTCTCCAACACTGACTCTGTTTAACAAGAGGTCAGTAACTGCTGCAGTCAAACTGCTAGCAGATATCCAATGAACCTTAAGAACTCATCTCTGGGTTTAGTAAAATCATGCCAGGTGTTAGGTTTGCTTTTTTTTCCAAGATATCCACAGAAAAGAAGTGGTAAAACACAAGAATAGAGGATGCTAATGTACCAGGGAATACAGTCATGATGCAGGCTTTTGGTTTTTTTCCCTTCCAAGCTGGTAGAAGGTAGAAGATATCCCAGCTAACTATCTATGCCAGCTTTCTGTATGCTCCAGCACTGCAAGAGTCCCATTTTTCAAGTTTGCCTAGCCAAACTGGGCTGCTTTACTAGCTATAGAGGAAATTAAGCAGGGAACAGAGAACAACAGTAAGAATTTTGCTTGAAATGAATTTGCTGGCAGATAATGTAACACTACTTTTAAGATTATTTCTATTTTTTGTAATACAACTGTTTATTTGTGAGCTTTTAGCCTCCAAGTTTCAGTTACAAATTGTCAGAGCTGAACTGTTAAGATCATAATTTTGTTTTACTTTATAATGGTTTATGTAAAAATGCCTCTGAGGAATATGATCCAGGATACAGATCTTATGTTTAGAGATCCATACCTTGATCACAATAATTCTCAAGCTCTAAGGGTTCCTGTTTTTTTAAATAGTATCAGTGTGTGTATAGATATGCTGCACTTATTTTACCTGTAGTACTTTTATAACCCTAGATGCCAGCATACATGATTGAGTAAGCCACCAATTAAATGCCTCACACAGGTTCATTGCTCCATGCTAACTACTAAATAGTTCTTCACACAAATTTTAGAGGATAGGCTAAAAAGACTTGAAATGATTTACTAAATATATGTAACTTCAAAATCTTGCTGACAGGCAAGTTCAAGAGACAAAGATCTGTGTTAGTGAGCCCCTTAAGATAATTCAGGGACAGTATCTCAGTAGTAGTCAGGTAATGAACTGACATGTGTGCTGAGAAGAGATGCAGATTGCAGCTACAGAAAGCTATGGCATGAAATAGAAAACAGTAATACACCAGCATAGTTGGTTTGGAAAGGTCAACTTTTTTTTAATAACTGCTCTCTCTCTCCAGGTTATGTCATGCAGTTACAAAGTAGTTAGGAAAAAAGCATGAGTTTCTGGGAGGGTCTAATTGTCTTTTTAAAAAAAACATTCATATTCATTACATAAATAACATCTGGCACTTCAAGGGGACTCCAAGGGACAAAAGCCTTAAACTTCAAAAACTGTGCTTGATCCAATATTTTGTTGAGGTCCATTTTGTTGTACTTTATGTTCAAAACTTTCAAGACCTCCTGATGACAAAAAAAAAAAAAAAGGCTGTGTGTGTTAAGACAGTGAATTAAATTTATAGCAGCATTCTAACTCCTCTGTGGTTTGGCCAATGATTTCTGGGTTCAGTTGTTCACTGAGGCAGTATCTAATTTTCAGAAAGCCTCTGAAATGAAAAGACTGAAAAAGAATTCCAAAAAACCTAAGTATGATTGCTTAACAAATTCAGAATATCCCTTTCTTAAAAAAAAAGGAAACAACCCATAGTCAGAGTAGTTATGTAGATACTTGATTAAAAACTTAACTAGAGTTGCTCAATAGTTTCAGCTTATAAAAATATTAGTCTGTCAGCGCTACAAATGTTTGATGACAGTCAAACTAGCTCGAACAAGTAAGGAAAGGCAGTCCTGTAACAGTAGCACAGTTAAAGAAAAAAATATTGCCTTAAGAGAATCAGGCCTGAAGCTTTACTACAAATAAAAACTAGACTCCTATCAAAGTTAATCCCTGCTGGAGGCCCATTCTTCCTTTGACAATGCCACAGCATTGATCATACAAGGCCTTACTGAAAGTGCTGAAGCTAAAATTATGTCATTAAACAAAAGTGCATGAAGTAATAATGAGCTAAGTGCTCATATAGTACAGTATCTGATCTGAAGTCTGAGAAGTGGCTCAGGTGGCAAGACCACTCTTCCATACATAAAATGTACCATTTTGTTTTGTAGGCGAAACACCCAGAATGGCCCCCACAAGTGCAGATGAACTGTTATCTTCAGATACATACTTGTATACAATTTCCTAATCCATGGATTTTTATTGTAAAAAAGACTAGTTTGGAACTGAAACTAATTGAGAATAGAATCCACTATAATGTCAGAAGAAAAGAAAATTTTGTGGTTACATGTAAACTTGTGATAAGCTTTCTCAAGAAGAGGGTACATTAACAGCGAGGGGTGGGATACAACAAGGAGAGGTCATGGCCTCTTTATGTAAAGGTCAAACCAGCCTCATTGTACACTTTGAAGACTTTCTCAATTGCATTGACATAGGCAGCTGTTCTCAGGTCCAGACCCAGGTTGTATGTCATGGCAGTGCGCATGATTTGCTGAAACGGAAAAGGTTACATGTAGTTTCTGCAGGTTTCTCCAGAGGAGCTCAACAGTTTTGCTTGTAAGATCCAAGTAAGGAGTAAAAAGTAAGGAGCTGCTAGATTGGTATCAGAGCTCTGATCCTTTGTGGATCAGTTCTGAAATTTCTTGATTCCCCTTACAACTGAGAACTGAAAGGGAAGGACATCTTTCTGAGGTCACTGTATTACCCCTTTTCAAGTCTTGCCCTGATAGGGAGAGATGAGATGTTTCAAGTAGCCTTTGTCCCACTAATTAAACATACAGCACAGAGGGACTAATCTAAAACTGCTAATGGTGTGAAGTAAAGCATTCTCATACACCTGTCCCAGACTAGCCAAGTACAAAAGGACAACTAAAAAGTTTCTACTTACTACAGCTTCTACCAGAATAATCTCTAATGTTTATTATACCCAGTTAAAGTTGGCCATGATGGCACAGAGCAGAAATTCTTCACACTCTAAGTGACTTTCATTAATCAGGTACTATTTATCTACTCCTTAAATTGCAAAGAAATGCTGTACAACCTATTCAAAAACTGTCCCAAAATCATTTGAGTTTTCCTTCCCTTAAATCTATAGAGTTATGCAATATTTACCCGGGCAGAGCGTTCCATCGTGTAAGCCAGCCCAGAGTGCACAATGTCTTTCTCAGATGCACCCTGCAACAACAGAGAATAAAGTCCAGGTTTAATCCTTGATTTTTAATCCTTTTGTGTCCTAAGACACAAAAAGTTACTCATTGTGTGCTGGGGACAAGGACATGTTGGATTCCTGTAATTACTGAAGCTTGCTCACTCATTCTCTTCTAATGATGGGTGAAGTCTCCAAATAGCCTTTACTGTGTTATGTGAAGAGCTAGCTGTGGTCAATTCAATTCTAAAATCTCAGATGTAAGCACTGAAGATGTTTATGGGCCTAGCTTCTAGATGCATGGTGCTACTATTATCTACTGATGCAGTAATTACTGTTTTCAGCCTTCAGACCACACAGTAAATATTAAACAAAAAAGCTTTCAAGAGTCTACAACCTATTGCAATTGTTTTGAAGACAGACAGGTTTTAGGAAGGGCACAGATCCCAAATTCATATGCTCCACATTACATTAGCCCTTAGCAACTCCACCTATTTATTCCCATTAAAATTTAAATACACAGAACAATAAGCAGTTGACTTATTATAGGTTCAATGTTCCATCATCCTGATTGCTGTAATCTACTAATAATTTGACATCTGGGTCCACAAAATACTTGCTTTCATTCAAACACCAATTTAGGCTGGAAGCAGAAAGTACCAGGCCAGTTTCTATGGCTTGTGTTTAAGAGATCCAGCATTTGCTTTAAGCCACAGAACCCATCACATGCTACTCATATAGCCTAACATGTATAAAATGCACCATTCTGGATCAGGCTCAAGTCTATTGTTATCATCTGGCTGTAGTCCAAGTTTATATGCACTTCCCCTGATTTCTTCCTGAGGAAGGATGGTTTAATGTTTTTCACAACTTGCTGGACTTTTCCTCCCCCTCCTTTGTCCCACCTCCTCCTGAATTTAAGAACCTAACCAACTGATGCTTTTAGTTTCCATGTATCCCTTGGCAGAGTACTGCACGCCTGAACTGTCTGCTCTGCTTGGAACCATCCCCTTATTTTTCATTCTGCACCTCAGTGTGCTGGTTTTGTTGGACAGATCTCACTCTCTTCCACCATTCTCTGCAGTGAACAATCTATCCTTACTCACCCCTTTCCATATCCCTCATTCTACAGATCACTGTCTCCACCTCAGGCCTCCTTCAGGCTCATGGGGCCTAGGTTAGTTCATTGTTCCATGTCAGAGAAGCTCCTGTGTTTTATCTGTCATTGTGATCCTGCTCTGAACTTTTTCCAGTGTTTGAAGATGCAGAGCCCCAACCTGTACACAGTATTCAGAAGGCAGAACTCTGAATTCATATGGTGGCATCATTAGTCAGCCTTACCCCTTCAGAACAATTTCTAATGCTGGATTTGCTTATTAATTGCTGTGGATTTCTAGGCTTGTATTTTGTCATCACCTCCACAATTTCCTTTTAAATGCAAATGGATGAGCTCACAACCCATCCCTTCATGTGGAAATTTCCTCACCATATATTGCTACACAATAGATAGCAATGAATTTTACCTGACATTTCTTTGCCTATTGATTCACTCTTCAAGAAACAAGCTACACTTTTTCACTCAGTTGTTATTCTGGAGTTACAGAAACATCAAACTGTCTGTGGTGTGATATCTTGTTCATAGTTTTTTGGAAAACCAGGCAAACTATATCAACAAGAGCTCCAAAATACAAAAAGCATCTGTATTAAAACTTTAGCTTTTTTACTATATTGGCAGTATTTTGCAAGGACTGAAGTAAAAGAAATCAAAAATAGCTTATTTCCAATATTCTGAAGCAGTTCAGATCATTTGCTTGCTTTGTTTGGCCATCAAGCTGATCACATACTAATGCTTTGCTTAGGGAAAAGTGCTCCATGATAGCTATAATGGCAACATTTAGGTTTCAGTAAAAAAAACCAGCAGCAGCTACTTACCGATATCCTATCTTGAAATTCTGCTGTAGGAACAACTGGAATAGTTCCCCCATGTTTCCCAAATTTTCTTTCCAAACTTTCCTGAACAGACACTAGGAAAAAAAAAATAGATGCAAGGTAACTGACAAATGTGAAATTTTAGGATTTTTTTTTCCTTAGGACAGTGAGCAGTGCTTTGGTATTTTCATTGATATTTATTTAATCTTAGTTCTTGAAATTCTGAAATTCCTAAACAGCAACAAAGAGCATTTGAGACAACACAATCTCGAAGTTAAGAAAGGGATTTAAATGAGAATTGCCATAACTCTCCCCTACTTTTGAAACACCTTAAAATGTATGATTTATGAGAAAGAGTTATATTAAAAACTATACAGGTGTATGTTTTGTCAAATCCAGTGTCTCAAGATTCTAATATTTTCTACAGAGTACAGTTTAAAATGGAGTAACATCCTCCAGTTCTTCTCTACTGAGCTTCCTCTCATCATATAATTGTTATTGTTTCCCAGAAAGCAGGCAGCACAGAATGACCATAAGTGGAGCTCTGAGCCATACAAAGGTTTTTCCAGGGCCTGTCTCTATTATATTATTGGCCTTTATAGAAATCCTTTATTGTTGTATGTGCAGAACAATGGCACCTGCTTGAACTTCATTTGAATGCTATCTAAATACCAGGTGTGCAGCTGAAAGATGTTTCTTAAGAAGTAGTAAATATTTCACTTAAGTGGCTTGACTTTACTATTTTACAAAACTGAGGAAGGAATTTAAAGATAACCAGAAAAGAATGCATTTAACTTTAGTCATTAGAGTTGCAGGTCAGTTAACCTATGAAACCTTTTCTATTCTTTATTAAGCAGCAATTACAGACTTCTGGGGAGATTGTGGTGAATTTGTAAGAGTTCTGTTTCCATTTCTCCCACATTTGGTGTTTGCTAGTCCAGCCTATTAATTAAACAGTGTGTGGAAGCAGAAGTGAGCACTTACTGAGCAAGTGGTAGTTGGAATCTCTCTCATATTTGAAAGTCAGGCGGCCATAACTGACGTGGTTCAAGTTTTTCAGCCATTCAAAGTAGGATACTGTTACACCACCAGCATTCAGGTAAAGATCCTGCACAGAAAGAAGGATTATTTTGAATTGTGACCATGTGACACAGACAGTGCTATCACGTTCTGCAAAAGCAAGCAATATTATGTCCAAGGCACTACTTGAAACTGCAGTACAGAAGACAATCCAGTTCTTACTCTTACAGGACAACATCCTCTTCAGTTCAGGGTTTACTTCTACTGATTTAAAATAGGACTTGAATTTAGAACACATCAAGTTCAGGTGTGCCTGACAGACTACTTACTTCTATTTTAGCACAAGTGTAAAAAAATTAGAGCATTCTTAGGCAACATCAGTGAGTAAAGGCTGAAGATCAGTTACTCTATCCAGCAAGATGGCTTGGTCAGGACACCCTTTCTCTGTGAAAAAATTGTCATTATAGCTGGATAGGTCTTATTTTTTCAAACTATCACTACACATACCCTGTACACTCTGTAGTACACAGTTCTGTCAGAGCATTACCCAGACACACCATGTCTAAAAACTGGCCAGAATATTTACTCTTCCTTCTTCCTGTGTTTAGTGCACTTTTTGATTGAGCAAATGTCAGCTAACAATCATTGTCTTTGGTCCTTTACAGTTGTAGTGAGGTCTTTAATAAATATTGTATTTCTTCAGCAACATTGACACCCATTTCCTATACATCAGGTGTTAAAAAACACTCTCAGAGAATGAATGGCTATTGATAAAAGCCTTCAATAACTAGGGTCTTGGTACTCTTCACAAAAATGTTCCTTTGAAATGAAAATCCAAGGTCATGATAGAGCCTTACAGGGATAACCATGATATTCCGCTCCAAGAAGATTTTGTCAGCTTCAGGAGTTGTAGGCCCATTGGCACCTTCAGCAATAATCTGAAAGAGATCACAGCACAGAGTAACTCAGAGGTATAGATTTGGGTTTGTTCATGATTATTGAATATTAGTACTTAAACAGACCATCTCTGGTTTTCATTTCCATTTAAAGTCTCTGACTTACTTTTGCTTTAACCTTGTGTGCATTGGCCTTGGTCAACTGCTTCTCGCTGGCAGCAGGGATGAGAATGTCACAGTCTGTTTCCAGAATGCTGCCCTGAAGGGGCTCTGCTTTAGGGAAGCCCATGATTGTCCCGTGTTGCTGTGTGAAGAAAACAAACCAGAGTGGTTTTAGTGTCTTGTGCACTCATACCAATTTCTTCCCTTCTGACTTTCAGAGTGAGAAAAGGGAGAAGCAACAATAGTAGAGAGACAGAACATCATGTAATTCCTACCCTTACTTAGACATGAAAAGCAAGTTACAAAGCTTCAGGAACAAAGTTCCCAAGACTGAAGCATAACTGCTCTCTGTATAAAGACACTGAGAAACATTTGGGCTCTGGAATATTCAAAAAAAAAGGTTCCTCTCAGCTCTTAAAATAGTTTTCAAACAACTGAAATGACTCACTAGTCTGCTACACCCAGGATAAGTTGCATCACGTAAGATTCAAATGGTTTTTAAAATTAAGTACTAAAATGATAGCCTTTGTTTAGTGATAGAATCTACCTTCTTTTGAGAAAGAGGGTGATAAAGAAATTCAAATATTCCCTATATAAAATAAGCCCCTAAAAAGCTTCAAGTAGAAGATTGTATTTTAGTGCCTGTGAACTGTCCCTTCAAGTCTGCTTCATATGGAAGCTGAAATAAAAAGACCACATCCAGTTTTCATTATAAACTACACATTCAAGTCACACTGCCAGGCAGGCTTTCATTCTTTCAGAAACATCCAATAGGTAAGAAACAGCAAAAGTACACTTTGTCCATCTTAAACAGCCATGTGCTTGTGATTCTCAATCAGGAATCCTTCAGGAACCTCCTTGCCTTGGTTCCTTAAGACATCCTTTCTAGTTTAGGCATAAGAAAGGCAATATAATAATAATTCCAATTCTGAAAACAAAGTAATCAGCCTGCACACACACAGACATTTTTTTGAGAGTCAGGTCAAAGGGTAAAAAGGTACCACCTGCATTTGCATTCTTGTTGGGGATAAGAAGGAAAGTCAGAAGAATCAATATTTCTAAGCCATTTTGTACGGACTATTTGCAGCATGCTTTAAATATCACAACACCAGTTTACAGTCACCAGTCATTCTATGTACTTGCAAAGCTGACAAAAATGAAACCCTTTCTGCTTAGCTAAGTTTCATACCAATTTGAAATCTTCTAGTTCCTTTGGGTCAATCCCATCAGGATTCCAGATGGAGCCATTGAACTCTCCGACAGCAACGCATTTTGCACCATAACGATGCAAGTATCTCATAGAATGCAAGCCCACGTTACCAAATCCCTGAGGGTGCACAGAGAAAGGGAAAAGTTAGTTAACCCTCCAGTTAAAATGATGATTACTGCTAGGGCTAATACAGTTTTAAATAGTTCTTCATCTCAAGATGGAAGAAATCTACATACATTCTATTCTTGCCTGAATCTCACTGCAGAAATGATGCACTGTTGCCAGCAATGTACAGTTGTCATGAGTGTTTTAGACTGGAAATACAGAAAGGAAGAGGTAATGCTACTATGGAAGTGTCAAAATGATGATGTTTATCAACCTGGGAATGTTCTGTGTATCCACTTTATGACTGGCACCCTCTTAAAGGGATTAATGGATTTTTGTATGACTACTGATTTAATTCCAGGCCATTAAGTTCCTTTACTTCCAGGATGCTGATGTTCTGGAAGTAAAAGAACACACACAGCGGACAAAAAGTCATATGATCAATGTTGAAAGTTTGTTGTATAATTCTGTGCTGAAAAATAGCTATAAATATATAGAATAAATATATGTTATACAGGAACAATCAATTCCTGAATATAATCAATTATATTTGGGGTTTTTGCTTATGTATTAGAAGCAAACTTTGATAGAAGAGTCTGTCATGCTTTAGGTCTCTTTGAAATGCTCTAGGTTCATTTTCCTACCAGACTTTTCTGCTTTTCTTATGGCCATATTTTCAGTCCAAGTTTTGCTTAAGGGCCTGTTTGTTAGTCCTCTGCCAGGCATGAAAATGCCAAAGAGCAGGGAGAGAAGTGCTGGGCCTGTGCAGGGCAGCGATGTTTGTTGCAGACCACAGGTTAACTAAAGGACAACTTGGAGGTTACAATTACTCTGCTATTTCTTTTCTAACAAGCACTTTTGAAAGCAACAAAACAAATCAGTTCCTCAAATGCTCCATTTAACATACTGTTTAAAGTTGAACAAGTTTCTTCTCTTGGAAGTTTTAGGAATGATAATGCATACTACTGCCTATCAAACACTTTCAAAATTCAACTACATAAATCCCCCAAGTCTTAGGAACAACAAAAATGTGCATTCAACCCTACAAATTTAGGATAAGGTCTTAGTTTCTATTTTTCCAACTGCTTATTCTGTAATGGAACCCTCAATTCCTCCTCTTCTTAAATTTTTTATTGTAAAGCATTGGAACAAATGTTGTGTAGGTAAAACCAGTGTCACGGCTCACTGAAAAGTGCGCTTAAAGACCTCAGTTTAAACATTTTGGTGTTTGTAGCTTACAAGATCATAATGACTCTAGAGATTTGGCTTTGTGCCTGCAGAGTGCAAGTGAAAGTTCAGTTTATAAAAACTAGTCCAAAATAAAGGACACCTATGTTGCTTGAAAAGTGTTTCTGAAGTTTGAGAGTAAAGGTTAACTTGGAAGTTTTAAAGCTCTCTCAGTTTTTAAGAGCTACAGCCTGTTTTAAAAACAGCTCTACTGAAAGTCTGTGTACTACTTCTTTTCCTACTGTCTAAGGAAAAAAGTTACCTGAACAGCAAATGTTTTATCTCCAAATCCTGGAGTCATTCCTAATAAGCTCATATATGAGGCTTCATTGATGAAATTTTCAATTCCATGGAAGACCCCTCGGCCAGTTGCAGATATACGTCCATGGATCCCACCCTGGCTGATGGGTTTACCAGTTACACATGCATGTGCATTAATATCCTGTAAAACAGCAAAGGACTTGTGAGACATGGAATCAATCAATCAAAAACCAGCTGGAACAAGAAGCTTTGTACACTTTTGACATAAGGGAAAACAGAAATTTTAAGAGTTGGAACATGATATAGCTTAAATGAATTTAGTTTGTTAATATGATTTCCTTCCTCACTTTGTGTGAACACCTCAGAATATTCTGTCAGGAAAGTTGTGTAATGCAATTGTGGATATGGTCTGTGATTTTTTGTTGCCTCTAAGTGTGTGCTAACTTTAGTCTGTGTATCATGGTGACATCCACAAGCAGACAAATCAAAAAGCTTTCAGGAATGTTTCTTAAAGTCAACTCATATTTACAGCCACAATTTCTTTACATTACTACTTTTGATATCCTTGAACTGGCTTTTAATCATCTTTAAACAGTATTTAGTGTTCCTTTATAACAAACTCAGTTATTTTACAATTACAAAACAAGGCATGAGGTCTGTAGTCAGAATACAGGGATGCTCTCAGAGGAAATCTGCAGTTTGAAGGTCATATAGGAAAAGCTGTGTATTTACTACTTTTATTCAGAAAAGCAGCATTTACAATCAAGCCTCCATTGTTAATTTGGTGGCAATAAAATTAAGTTTTCCATATTCCAGATAGTCAGCCAAGATGAAACAGCTATTTAAAACCATAGCTGAGTTTTCCATTTGGAATTAATAACATGAAAGAAATTCTTCCAAACCAGACACTGGAACTCCCTCTTCTGTCACCAGTGGTTCCCATGCTCCCACACCCTGGGAGCAGAGTCACACGGTGCCTTGGCTTCCAGCACAAGTGAGAAAGGAGGGATAAAAGAGAATGCACTGAAATGAGGGTGCCAGCAGCCGGATGGGTTTCCATTCCACCAGGCACACATTCACTGGGAGGCTCCCTCTGCTCCATCCCTTGTGCCAAAGGCATTTGCATGCCTGTGGTGCAGGGTGCTTGGTGAGAGGAAGGAAAGGAGCAGACAAAAGTAAGTGGAGGCAGAATAGCTGGAGGAGACTAGAGCCATAATGAAGACTAAAACTATTTACTGTTTGAAAATGTCAGTGAGTTAACATATATGCCTCTTTAAGAACAATGAAGGTGATGCTGGGCTTGCCACAGAATTCCTAATTCAGCCTCCCAAAACACAGCTCGCTGCTCTCCATAAGCTGTATGCTCCCTCTTGTGGCATGTCAGCTGTAACAAACACTGGCAGGGCTGTTCTCTTGGAACCACTTGGCCTGATGGACTTTCAGGATTTTATTCTGTTACATGGTCCTAAACTATGCTTTGGGCTTTGTGCATTCACGCAAGAGGGAATATATTTTACAAATATGTGAAGAAATACAGCTTCCCCCCATATATAAGAATGTATTTATCAAAGTCCTTTCCTGTGTACCAAAAGTCAGTTGATTGTGTCAGGAAGTGCAGAAGAGCAGAAAAGATTAATTTAATAAAAAACTTCAGCCATATGTAACTCAGTGATCCAGCAACTTCAGATGGATTTTCTGGAACAGTTAACATGGTAGTTATTAACAACTTGCATGGTTTGGGAAGAAAATAGAGCATGAAGTGAGGACACATCCAGGTCTTCTTGAAGTCACATATAAAAGCCACAGCTGATGTCAAAGTCCTGAAATCTTTGGTTTCAAGTCAATAAGCAAAAACTTTCAACATATCTTGGGTGAAAACAAAGAGCATGGCTTTTACTGAGAACCTTGAAAAATGGCTTATAGCTAGCATCAAAGACTTCTATTTCATGAACTTGGTGATGTTCAGGCACTAACCTTAGCTCCTTTCTTTATCCCCCTGCAATGATGTCCTTCCTTGTCTCTCCAGCTCTCCTCTCTCTGGATGGTTGAACAAACTTCCCTTATCTGCTTATATCTGTTATTTGATTTATCCTTCCCAGTTGAAACTCTCTGAGCACAGCTGTGTGTAGTGTGCAAGCACAGAGCCATCAGGTCTGTATCTCAGAGAGATCCCTCTCACCAGAGTTATCTTTCCACTCCACTGAATGTAACACCTTGCACAGCTTCCATCTGTTTGCAGTTCCGGCTTGTTTCACTTCTGTTCATTGCTCATTTTCTGCTCTTAGTTCCTTTCCCTTCTTCCACCATGGTCATTTTTATCTTTTTAGTATTCCTTAATCACCTTTATTTTTGCTCTTGGTGCCCCAAACAGACAGTTATTTGAAACATCTTTCTCTAGAAACTGGTTTTGATGGATTATTCCGCTTTTTATAGCCTTGTCAGAATTCTCACTTTCCTTCTCCATTACCTGGTCATTTTCCACAATAGCTCTGGAGTTTCACTGTGGCTACCACCCTCTCAAGTACAAACAAGCAACTCAACAAAATTAAGCAAACTCACATTCCTCCCCTGCCCCTTATTTCCGTTTTTAATTAACTTTGCAGAAAAGCATTCCTGAATCCTCTGAGTTTCTTTTATTTTTCAATAAGATACTGCCATACAGAGGGAGTCTAAAAAGAAACTGTTGTAGGGTAATTCCAATTTTAATCCTCAGTAGTTATTTTCTTTTCTGTTGTAATTGAATCATAAGCATGTGTAGGACTCCAAAATAAGGTGAGCTTATAAAGTGGTAAGAATAAGAAATTCATCCATTTGAAAACTTCTCTATCAGGTTTAGTTTAATATTTTTTAAAAATGGAGCTTTTGTATAAAACTGCATGAGAACTCTTTAATACTGCAAATCTTAAAGCAGGTCACTTGCTGTGATCCTTCTTGTCAGTCTCAATAACACAGTGCTGTTGTATCACAGTGAAATACACATTTTAGTGCCATGGGTTAAATGTTAAAACTCAAAGCTTTGAGGCAGTAGTTTTGCTCTAAGTTGGAATTTTAAGTTCTGACTGAGGGAACTAATTGCCACCCTGCATTCTGAAGTCCTTCTGAATTAACAACTTTAGCACTTTATCAGATATCAAGTTTCAATTAAAGTATTTACCTGTGTGAATAGCAAAAAGCAAATAATGTTTCACAGTGATACCCTAACAGAGAGATTAGTGCAAAAGTAATTTAACTAGTCAACATGCTGATTCTTCAAGCATTCCTTTTTTCCTTCCATAAGACACCTCAGTATTTCAGACTTAGTGTGCCACTGCCCCTCCCAGTGTCCAAGGCCCAGACAAGAGCTGTGCCAGGATTTGCCTGAGCACAGCAGGCACGTCCTGAGCAATGTGCCGGAGCGAGGCAGTGGCAGTGGCACCCATGGCCCAGGCACACACCCTGCAGGGGGACTGCACTGAGTGCAAGGCAAGAGGAGCTGGGATAGGCACACATGCACTAGAATAGCATATTGACACATTAATACACAGCTACTGACAAATAAGGTGTCCAAAATTTGTTATTTCTTTGAACAGACCTGTTGAAAGTGTACAACAAAAGTGTTTGGTTAACAGGTACAAGTAACTCCACTGACACAAGGACAAAGGTCAAACCAAGGGCTAGCATAAAAAAGTAATTTTAAAAAACTTTACATTTTTTTTATTGCCTCTTGGGCTATAAATTATGTCAGTGTCCTTTTGCTTTACACTTTGAAGAATTTGCTGAAGTTCACAATGGAATCTGTTACTTCTAGTAGACTGCAGAGAATCTTAAAACTTTTAGAAGTTATACCAATAGTGTGAATGTAATTTGCATTGTCTCTTGAATGAACAAAACCATGAGCATGTATTTAATAAAACTTGTAAATTCAGTTATCAGTTAACAACTTTAAATTACTAATTACAGAACCAATGAAAAACAGAGGAAAATTACAGAAATAGAAACCAATTTTAGACTATATACCTTTAAAAACAGTGTATTTTCTTTTATTGAACAATTGCAATCAGTATTGCATCAGAGAAGGTTCTTTTAAGGCTAGTGTAAGAATATTATCTATAAAGCTATTTTTCCTTTGCTGTACCCTAAAATCCTCACACCACTGAGGCTGTCACAGTTTGTAAGAATATTTTCAGATCAAGTAAGTAAACAAATTGATATGATCAGGCAGCTTTTCTGCTTGAAAGCCTCTGCACAACACTTACATAGTGTCCTATGGTACTGGCATAGGTGTCAGCAATCCAGGACATCTCCCTCTCCCCCGTGCTCATATCAGGGGCAGGAACATCCACACCAGGTCCTGTTGGCAACAGTGAAAAAAGCTCTTAAGGATGCAACAGAAATAGTTATTGTCAATCATTATCCCCTTGGGAACTGCAGGCCTTAACAGAGATTAAACAACTGTTTAATCCTCAGTTTACTATACAAGCAACACATTCTTCTGGATCCAGTGCAGTTTTAGATGCTGTATCACACCTTTGTACAATATTATCAAAACCCCCAACTTTACATAAGCCATCTGATAAAAGGCAAAGGCCACTTGCTCAATAAGATGAGTAGTTTGGGTTTTTTTGCAGGGAGGGTGCTGTGTGGGTGTAATTTCTATGTACTGTGATATTGATTGGATTCTTCTGCATAACAATTTCCTTTCTGTTCCTGGGTGAGGTTAAATATTGAAGGTAGGCTGTACCTAGTCACTGCACTGTAGTACATGCATTTGATTTTACTGCTTACTTCAAAAAAAGTTTCATTTCTCTTTTTTGATGAAATAAACCTTTAAAAGAAGTCTCACACATCTGTTGAAATTAAAAAATTTTTTTAAAAAATCGGCTTCTTTTAGATAGCTAAAAACAGTATTTTCCCCAGACTATTTAAGATAACAGAAACCTACTAATCAGGATATTATATGCAACTCTGCCCCAACAATTTTTCTAAGTATTTTTAAAAGGTTTGTGAAAGTTGTGTAGCACCAACCAGAGAGACAAAAAGGAAGATAATTTTATCAAACCATTTTAATTGTCACAGAACTAATTATCACTGTAGCTTGCATTGTGCATAGTAAAACCACAGTCACATGTAACATCAGTAAGTGTGTTTATAAAGGAGCTTAATTTAGATGATAAATGCTCTGTCTGGAAGAGCAGCAAACACTCTGGCTGAAAGAGCAAGAAAATGCAGATTAAAGGATAGACATTCCAAGGCAGTTAGATATCAGGAATACATGACAGACCTCTAACTAGTTACATGCCTCATTATTCACTTGAGTAAGAACCTTCTCTGGGTAAAGCTGCTCCCTTCAATAAAAGTTGAGCTGGTAATGGTCAGCTTTCTGCAGAGGAGATGTACAGGCAGCAAAGCTACCAGAACAGCTCAGGGCTGAGTGTGAATAAAGCCCTACTGACATTACAGAAGCTGAGGTTCTGTTACAACTATGCCTCTTGCCTACGCTTCCCTTGCAGCCTCTGGTTGCCATGGGTGAAGCCATCAACTTTTGCTGGGGTGGATCTTCTATTTCCTTCCTCTCTTTCCTCAGATACCTGCCAAAAGCCCCAACTGAGACTACAGGAAACAGTAACAGTGAAGAGCTTGCTATTAGAGACTAAAACTGCAACAAATATGGTCACCATTTTATGATCTAACTCTGAGAGAAATGTGATTCATTTTGAATACTGTGACCTCAGCTTTTGTGGCTTCTCATAGCTACAACAGCCAGCAGAAAAAGTTAAGACAGTTCCCTTTAAAATGCACTAGGATGCAATGACTCAACTCTTTGTGGTTCTTGCTGAAAGTTCTGTATCCAAATTGCTTACAGCTCTCAAAAATACTGTTACTTAGGGATATCATCTAACAGACACTGCCAGTGCACAACAAATCAGATTCCTAAATTTGAATAGTAAAGCTGCTCAACATACCAATAAAGCCCTTTTTTGCCAGCTCCATGGTAAACCTTCTTGTGATCTTCTCCAATTCATTGTCCTGTAGAGAAAATGCAATAAATATCAGAAGAAATCATTAGTGCTTATGAGTATTTGCTCAAACTTAGCCCAAGCATAAGCCAACGCCCTCTTCTTTTAGGAGAAAGGATGATTCATAATTTATATAATTTATATGCCACTCCCTAGCAGACCGTTGGTACTCAGGCAGCACAAGGGCAGCACAAGAAACATTGGAATTTCTTTCTGTACATTCTGATCCATGACAAATTGGGAGCATGGCACAGGAAGAACCACCTGTGTCCATAGCAGAGATTTCCAGCAAACAAATCTGATATCCTGTGTGAGCGATTTACAACCAGCAACAGCAAGAGCTGGCCCTGCCACTTGTGTAATCAACACAGCCAAATGACTTGACACAAATCCTTACAGGAGCTTTCAGCTTAAAATATCTGTTATGTATTCTAGTATTCCTTTCTGTACAAGTTGTTTTAATTAGGGCAAGAAGGCAAGCCTGCAGTAAACCTTTTATAAGCCAAGTTAGTTATTATTCACACTGGAACACTGCATAGAATGGTTTAATGGAGCATAAAACTATTAGTCAAAATAAACAAAACAAAATTAACTTTTTTTTTTTTTTTAAGAGTAACTTAATTTAAGCTTTTACTAACAGTATCAACTTAAAAAAAAATTCCAGGTTCCAAATTATTTGTAGTCTCCTGATTTTCGGAAAAAATAAATTAAGTAATTGAAGTATTCCACCTCTGAAACACAGACCTTTTAAAATTCCTTTGCTACCTATTGCATGCACAGGCTGTACTGAGCCTTTACAGAGGCAGAAGTGGCAGGAGGGTTTAAGTGGTCAATAATGCCCTTAGAAGAGCTTTTTTTACTGGCTGGCTTCAGTATTGCAGATACCCAGATTTTTATCTATGATGAGGCTTACTGTGTAGTTCTTGGGATTGATCTTGACACCAGCCTTTGCCCCACCAAATGGCACATCTACAAGAATGCAAAGGAAAATCATTTTACTTTTTCAACAACAAAGGCAGAACATGTGAGAAAGATGTGTAATTATATCTTTGATTTTAGTGGTGATTTTGGTTTTGCTGTGTTTATGGCTTCTGAAGTGTTAGCTATAATCTGATCTAGGTACTCTTATAAAAATGGGAGATCGTTCAAGGCACTTTGAAAATTGTCTTTAAAAGTTCATTATTTAAATTTTCTATGCTTAAATATCTCTTGTACTTGGCACTTGTAGAAATAATAAGTTTTACCTTTTATATTTTACTGGTTTAGCTTAAAAAGTTTACTTTGGGAGTCCTAAGCACACCTATATATATTAGGGGAAAGTATTTTCTTTTCTTACACATAATAAGCAGATTCTCTCCAAACTTCTCTACAATTTAGTAGCTGTGTACAAGTTATACTTCTTTATAACCCATAAAGGAATTTTATCCTTTGCTCTCCATAGCTCCCCTGCCCGAATCCTTTACAGCTTCCATCTGTTCCCCCTAAAATTAGTCCCCTACTAATCCAAGTTTGTCATACTTGAATATTAGTTCAATATGTAGTTCTTTCTATGGGAGAGGGTAGTTAGCAGAATCTGGACTTTTCAAATGAAAATGCAACCTTATTTAAGTATTTTCAGTGACAGGAGAGGGAATATATATTATTATTATTTTAGTCACTATAGATTTTCCCACCTTGCCTATAGATTTAAATTAGAGATTAGAGTCTGAAATTCATTTTAATCCTTTACATGTTTGGTTTTTCTATGTGATTACATCAGTACTGGTTGAAACTGAAGATTGAAATCTTGCTTGGAAAACGAACACTTACCAACCACAGCACATTTGTATGTCATGAGAGATGCTAAGGCTTTCACTTCATCCACACTAACGTCCATACTGTAACGGATACCTGCAAAGACACATGAGAAAAAATACGAATTCACTAAACACCTTCAGAAGTGTTTACAAATTGGGAAGGGTTAATCCACACCAAAAATCTTTAGCACGCAAGTGGGCTGTTTATCAACTTATTTACTCTAAGAGATAAAGAACAAGACCCTGTTCCCCTATTTAAATGTTTATCTTTTATGTAGCAGAAATTCACAACTGCAGTAATTTTCTGTGAAGCAGCTTAATGGCAGCACTCAGCCTTAGGGAAAAAAAGTGAATATTGCTTGTGATGAAGATGAATCAAGCTGACAGGTAGCTAAGAGCAGAGTTTTCCAGAGGCTGATAAAGCTCTTCAGCATTCCCAAGATCTTTAACTTTGGACTTCATTCATTGTATATACAAGATTAACTTTGTTCCTGAACATAACTTACCAGTACAGGTTATAATCAAGATATTTTTGATGGAGTAATACAAGCTCCTGTTAAGTTCTAAGCCTTGGCTTCAAGGTCCTGGCTGCTAGGCACAACCACAGAACAAAAAGTGACAAACCACTCTGCTAGTTTTGATTTTTTCAAAACCATTTGAGGTAATAGTCCTACACCAGTGAGCTTGTGAGACAAGGCCACCCATCCCACATCCACACTCCCACATGGAAGCCAGCCCACACCTGCATTCCCTGCTCCAAGTCACTCAGCAGGGCTGCAAGTGTGTGCTAACACACGGTACAAATGCAAATTCAATTTGTTGTGTGCTGGCAGCAGCTCAGATGCACAATGAGTGAGCTCAGCATTCAAGGCAGCTCAAAGCTGAGTAAAAAAATGGTTACACAAAGGTAAGGAGATCTTTCACCTGCCTGACTCTTACCAGTCTTTTGAAAAATGGAAAAATTCAATACATTTATTGAAGCCAAAGTTAAGATTCATGTATCTGAAGGTAGCTACAGAGTAGGAAATATTTAACCAAACTGACAAAGCAGATGCAGAGAACTAGAGAAGTTTAAATATGATGTTTAAGATCAACATGTGCCCAAAGTCATGTGGCCACAACAAAAAGGGTCCTACAGCTGTATGTTTGTTTCTATCCAAGTTTCTCCTACTTAACCAAGTATACAACAGAGCCATGAATAATTTCTTATTCCCATCTTTACTCCCCAAATCTTTGGCTGTAGGTTCTGCCAAGTTGCACGGTGGTTTGTAGCAGGCACAGAGTGTCCTTTGGATGCCAGAACATGGCACCACAAATTTCCTATTATGTAAAGAGAAGACCATATTCAGGTTCTCAGGAGTGAAAAAAGGCCAGCATACATTATCCAAACTAAAGCACTGTGCTGCTATGAAAGCCATTCCTGAATGCTCTGGAAGCAATCCCAGTTTCAAAGGAACTAAGTGCTGCTCAAATAAAGCTGAGGGCCAAGTGCTGCTTTCTTATGTGAGTTCAATCAGTAAAAGGAAGTTCAATGCCTCTGCAGAACAGCATTTAAATTTATTGTGTATATGGGGGAAGGGTGCTCTCCAAAAGCAAACTAAGTAGTTTCTGACTTAGATAGCTGCAAGGAGTTGATGTCTGAGCTTTCAATCACCTTCTCATGGGAAGTAATATACAAAATTTAAGTAGAACTTATCAGAGCCCAAAAGACCAGTCAAAGTTAGAATATTAATGTGTTGGGGTTTTTTAATATGTCTTCCTCTGACTCTTCAGAGGAGCAGTTGTCCTCCTGTCAAGCTCTGAGCAAGAGTGAGCACTACCTATGGCACTGGCTGTCCTGCCTGGGGAAGCCATTCCCTCTTGGCTGAGCAGGTACTCTGGGAACAGGTCTCATCTGAGTGTTGCTCAAGCCAGCCAACTTTGGAGTCACAGCCTATGTCGACCAAAAGTGAACTCTGCCCCTCCACCCCCCAGGTGAACTAGATTGCTGTGTATTTATTCAACCCATTTACCTATTGAAACTTCCAAGCTGTGTATACAAAGCAGTTTTGCTATAAATGTACTCCTGCAGGCACACAAAATGTTGTTTATTGATATATGAAAAGCAGCAAGGAAATTATATACTTTGGGATAGTTATCTTGAACAGTTTAAAGAGAGAAGCAAAATACAAAAAGGGAGGGAAGCTTCTTCTGCAAATCCTACAGAAGATAGGATCTGAAGAGGTAAACAAGCAGCACTTTAACTGGAAGTGCTGGTGCACATATTTACTCCAGCACATGCAGAACAGTTAGATCTCCAGTTCCTTGTATTACCACAAACTTTGACGTAATAAATGTGAAGTCTTCATATGAAGGTAAATAGGGAAAAAGCCCCAAAACTAACAAAGTACTGACAGGCTTTCAACTGAGCTGCCTGTCAGCCATGTACACACACCAGAACACAGGAAACTTTTGGACTTGAGGTCAAAACCGTTCTTTTCTGGACAACTTTGTACTTCAGAATAAGATTTAACTCCTTTTCCAAGCTTTTTAAACAGTTGTAATTAAAATGGCTTGACTGCTGGCTTTATCTTTGTAAGTGGAAGACTAGTCAGTTCTGAGAGTTTGCTGACTTTACTGGTCACTCTTCTCTAGTTTATGTGGTAAAATCTTTCATTAGGTGAAGTTCAGGATGTGAACCCAAGTTCTCTGACAGGTGTGATGAATTTTTCCCTTCCCTGGCAGGAGCACACAACATTTAAGATGTGCTAACACTTAATTCATTTTCACAATTCAGCCAGTGACTGTTTTCCAGGAATTGTAATTACTCTATAGGAGGGCCACCTCTTGACAGGGAAGTTATTTGTGCTAAGCTGTTAAGACTGATGAGAAGCAGGCATCTGAGAATGCTCTACATTCCATCTGCAAGCAGATGCATAAAGATAAAAGACTTACTTAATTTCTGTACTATTTGGACATCATTGAAATTTAGTTTGACAGCTTCCTAATTCGGCAGGAGTATTGCCACGCATTTGTGTGGCATCTTTTGGCAGTGTTACTAGGCATTCAATAGCCTAAGTCTAAAAATGGACCATATACACAGATAAAATACTGGGTTTGGTTTTTTGGGGTTTTTTTAAGGTTCTCACCACATAAAAGCAAACAAAGTCACTGTTAGGTAGCCAGATTACAATTTTTTTAAACTCTGGCAAGTCCCACTCAGTAAGTGTCTGGAAACTTGTGACTTTTACAGCAAACTTCAAAAAAATAGTTTGAAGAAAGCCTCAAGTTACAGTATGACTCATGACCATGGAAAATACTTTTCATTGGAAAACATGAATTCTTGTTCCAGTTGAGAATTCTCTTTCCTTACCACGCCCCAAGAAGTCAAACAGTATGCTAAGAGTGACTTTGTTTTTCTATGCACAAAGGCTTCTAAATGAGGAAATAAGTTTTCATATAATTTTTTAGTATTGGTCAGTATGAATAGAAGCCTTTATCACTACACGGCAGTGTCTATGTTTTTAAAACTTCTTTTTTATGATCTGTATTATGGAGATATTATAGCTCATTCAGTTACTGCTTCACATCAAAGCAGTCTTTATCAACAAGGCTACTTTGGATTCTGTAGTAACAGCAGTTAGTTATAATTTTAATCATTTCATCATTTTGTAGCAAGGGGTGTACTAATATACGCATAACAAAGACCTTGATTTCCAAGAAAATTGTTTATACATCCTACTAGATTTTACATTGTACAGAGTTCAGTATGTTCTGTGATGTTAAGTGTGTTTATTATGCTTCCTTAGCAAATGTGGTGTACAGTAGTCATCCTTTTCAAGGATGACTACTGCCTTTCTAGTACGCCTACAAATCTATTTAGGGACCTCCGTGTCACTATTTTCTGCGCTTCTTGTGCAGTGATCCTAAATGGTAGTACCTACATGTGTCCTTGCTACAATCCAGCACGAGGTATTCAAAGTCTCAAAAAACCCCTCAACAGTTGCCATAGCAACAGTTCAAAGCAAAACAATTGGTAAACTACTCCTTCTGTTCTAAGTATCTTGTAAATCTTAGCAAGTCTCTCGAGTTCCTCAGAACCTGGAACACATTTGCATCTCAGCCTAAACTATTAATATCTAACCAAGGGTTTTGTCCTGCTTTGACTTCAGTGTTTTTTTCTGGTTGTCATGTTCTTGTGAACTTTGGAAGTAATTTGGGTCCTTTACAGATGACAATTCCTGTTAATTTGTTCTGCTCACCTCTCTTTGCAAAGTGCTTGCTCATCAAAAGAAACCTTCCAGGGCAGCAGCTATCCTGCACTAGCCACACACAGTCAGCAACACAGATGTCCTCATCTCCTCTGGAAGTTCCTAGGACTCACTACAGGCATGTTCATCTCCCAGTTAGCAGCACTGGATTCTGCAGCAGCTCTGGGGGTTAGCAGCTTGCCTGACACAGTCCAAAGGCCTTCCTTTAAGACCACAGGAGCTGAAGGAGCTCTACTGAAGGAGCTTCAGTAGAGATGCTCACCTATGGATTCTGCAAAATCCATACATCAGCCCCAGCACTTACTGCAGTGCCTTAGTTCCTTAATGTTTTAACTCTGCATTGTGTATATTTTCATGTTTGGTTAGTAAACAAGTGCAATTGTGATTGTACTACCAGCAAACTCATCTTCACTGTAACTTAACTCAGTAGGGACATATCATCTAAGTAATTCTTAAACTCTTTCAGAACACATACTAGATTCAGAAAAACAATTCAACCTTCAACAATTCAACCATTTTTCTAGATTCAGAAAAACAATTCAACCTTCCCAAGAAGGAAACTGTTGAGCCTTATTTAATCATTTGAAAAGTGTGGTAAACAGCTCAGTGACCAATTTGTAATTGTTGAAGACAAAGAAATTCCAGATAAACCTAACAAAGCAAGATGAGTAATTCACTACTGGAAAACAAGAACACTGTACACCAATCAGCAACAAGAACCACTAATTCCTAAATTCAATTCACTAACTGCCAAGAGAAGAGATAAAAATATTTATCTCTTCCTACACAGCAGTAGCCAGCTACAAAGCTGGGGTAGGACAGCCATTCCCCTATAGAGACACCCCCCATTCTGCTTTAAGCACCAGTATG